GCCCTCAGCCAGGCCCCAGGCCCCCGACCCTCACCCTCAGCCAGGCCCCAGGCCCCGACACTCAGCCAGGCCCCCAGGCCCCTGACCCTCGCCCTCAGCCAGGCCACCAGGCCACCAGGCCTCCAGGCCTCCAGGCCCCTGACCCTCGCCCTCAGCCAGGCCGCCAGGCCCCCAGGCCCCCGACCCTCGCCCTCAGCCAGGCTCCCAGGCCCCCGACCTTCACCATCAGCCAGGCCTCCAGGCCCCAAACCCTTGCCCTCAGCCAGGCCCCCAGGCCCCTGACCTTCACCCTCAGCCAGGCCCCAGGCCCCAGGCCCCCGACCCTTGCCCTCAGCCAGGCGAGGGTGGCAGGCGCCAACCTGCTTGACGGTGAAGTCGTTGATGAGGTGGTGGTTGTGCTCGTTGAGGCCGCAGTGCAGGCTGACGCAGTCGCTGTGGAAGAGCAGGTCCTGCAGCGTGCTCACCCGCTGCAGCCCCAGCGCCCGCTCCGTGCCGTCCGACAGGTAGGGGTCGTAGAACAGCACGTTGAAGCCGAAGGCCTTGGCCCGAAGCGCCACCGCCTGCCCCACTCGACCTGGCGGGCCGAGACTCGGCGTCACCGGGGCCGTCGGCTGAGTGACCCCCACGCCGCCTCAGTCTCCTCGTGTGCTCGGGGCCGATGCCACGGGGCACACGCTGCCCACCGTGGGGAGTGCATTCCCATCCACCCCGAGGCATCTGCTCCCGGATGCTGAGCGGTGGGGCCGACGGGGTGTTCAGAGAGGAGGGCGGGGGTAGAGAGGGTCCCTGGGGAAGGCACGGGGTGGGGGCCGCAGCACCAGAGGAGTGGCCCCCGCACCTGGAGGGGGGCTTGGAGCTGCTGACCCCGGGGACCCCCGAAGGGAGCCCTGACCTGGCCAGGGTGGGGCCACCAGCAGCCAGGCGCAGGGCAGCGCAGCCACCGTCCCAACCTCTCGGGGAGTGGCACTGCGGGGCGGGCGGCACCCCGCACAGCACCCCAGGGCCCCTTTGGAGCCCCCGGCTGCTCGGAGCGGGAGAATGCCCACGAGGAAAGCGAGCAGGGCTGGAAACAGCCCATGCACCCCCGAGGCCACCATGGTGGGGGGGTCCTACACCTGCTTAACCCAAAGGGTGGCCGCCAGGGCAGCAGGGCCCCCAGGACCCCCGGTGAGACCGGGACAGAGCCGCTACACCCAAAACGCTGCTCATGGCGCCACAAGGCCGCGAACCAGCCACGGGGCACACACTGCCCGGGAGACAGGGCCGGGCACACGTGCAGACCCAGAGCGCCATTTACAAAGTCCCCGAGCGAGGCCGGGGCAAGGCCTGCTCAGGTCACCTCTGCCAAGTCAGACTCGGCCCACCCGGCCCCGCCAGCTCAGGGTTTCTTGACAGCGCTGCCGAATGAGACCATGTGGCCCCAAAATCGACTTGGCCAGGCACACTGGCTTCCCATCCGTCCTTCTTCAACAAAGCCCACACCCAGGGCCCCAGGGGAAGGGTGCCGCCCCTGCCCGCACACCCGCGGGGACAGCAGCGGGGAGGCACTTGTGGGGACCAGTCCTGGTGTCCGTGTGCCCGTCTCAGCGGGATGGTGATCTGTGCTGGAGGAGACGGGCCTGTGTCTCACGGACGTCCCTGACCCTGACCTCCTGCCCCAATGCAGGTGTGTCCCCACCCTCGAGAACACCCAGACGCCCCTGCAGCACTGTCCCACGCTACGCACGGCGCTGCCTCTGTGAGGTGGGGAGGCCGCGTGGGCCACCCAGAGGAAGCCGGGGAGGCAGCATGACGTGGCCCCGTCCACACCGGCCTGCCACGTGGTGGAGCCCGAGTTTAGGAAGGAACATGGGTCACAAACAAGGAAAACAAGACGGACGTCACTGACCCAGGACAGCTGCCTGCACAGCAGGTAAATCTCCTCCCCCCACCCGGAGCAGGGCAACGGCCACCCAGCCCTCACCTGAAGGACACGTCCACTCAGCCGTGGTTGGAAGGGGGGCAGGGTGAGTGTGGTTGAGTGTGGTGAGTGTGCGTGCGTGACCCTGGGGGAAACCATTCGATGTCTGCATACGTGTGACCCATGCCCAGTGTTCCCGGTGAGGACCAGCCTCACGCTGTCCCCAGCCTGGAAACCGCCCTGCACGGGGGAAGTCGTTCTCAGGTCGGGGGGACCGTCCAGCGCAGGGGTGGGGAGAGGGAGCAGCACGGCCACGCCCCAGCCTCGTGTCCACCGAGCGACGCAAGGAGCAAGGACAGACGCACCTAGTCCTATGATACCCAAGGTCTCCCCACGGATCCTGGCGGCTCCGGAAGCCACTTCCCGGATCTGCTCGACGCTCTGGACCCGAGTGCCCTCCCGCAGGGCCTGGTGCAGCCACGTGGTCCTGCGGTACAGGTTGAGGATGTGGCACATGGTGGAGTCAGCCGTCTCCTCGACAGACGCCGCTGGCACGTTGCAGACAGCGATGCCTGGGAACAGACAGGCGTGCACGGTCACCAGAGCCAGTCCCAGCCCCTCTCCCACGGAAGGCTGAGTGTCCCCAGGCCACCCGGGGAGGCTAGGAGGCAGACCCAGGTTACGTGCCACGTGGAGAAGCTGCCCGTAGGTCCAGTGGCAGAAGGACAGGGCACGGGAGACGTCAGCCTCGCCCGGACCGCTGGCCACCTGGCCTTCCAGAGGCGCTGGGCGGGTGGACGGGGCCATGATGCTCCTCGAGCTGCCCCAGAGGCCAAGATGATGCCCAGCACACGGACGGGGCTGCAGGAGAGGCCCAGGTGGGTTCTGCATCCCTTCCAGAAACAACTCAACCCCCCATGATTCCAAGAGCACGCAGGGAACAGGGGGCCCAAGCCAGTGTCCCCTAGATCTGGGAACAAAACCGCTGCCTGGTCCTGGGACTTCTGAGTCCCCACCTGCCAGGCTTTGAGGGGTAACCACAGGGCACAGCCCTGACTGTCCCTGGTGGAGGCACAGAGCCCCAGCCTGTGAAATCACAAAACAGTGAGGCCAGAGTCCGTGCACGGGACTGAGCCCCTAAGGAGCCCCCAGGCCATGGTGCGACGCTGCTGCTGGCACCCTCCTGGGGATACTGCCTGGGAACAGGTGACAGTAGAGCGAGAGGGCTCGGCCAGGTGAGTTGGTGGTGGGCACGAAGTGTGCCCATAGGAGCACAGTGAGCTCCAGGACACGTGACGCAAACCTCACCCCGAGTCTGCAGCAGGTAGGGATGCCAGAACGTTCTGACGAGTTCCTTCAGCTGCATACTGGAGGCAAGGACCGGTGCAACCTGGCACTCAGGGCCCCGCCCACTCCGGCTGCAGGCCCTGGTCAGGCACCACCTGGCCATGTGGGCCGAGGCCGGTGCAGACACAGCTGACACTGGTTTGAAACTCACAAGGTTTCAAGGAGCTTGGTGACCAGCGGCAGGGCGCCCTGCACCCCAGAGCAGGCTCACAAATCACCTCCAGCCCAACAAGCAGTTGCAAGGGAATTCTTAGCATAAAACAAACCCCACAGATAACACCTAGTGTGACAAAACCCGGCTTTGGAAGAGACACACGAGAGCTGCAAAACAAGAGCCCTGACTGCCCCACCCAACCCTCCCCCCTCCCCCCTCCCCCCTCCGTGAACGCCCTCCCCCCCACCCAAGCCCCGCTGTGAGCCATGACCAGCCTACCTAAATCCCCAGCTGATTTGATGTCGATGTTGTCAAAACCGCTGCCGATTCGAACAATGATACGAAGAGCTTTGAACTTCTCCAGGTCCTCCCTGGTCAGCGTGATGGTGTGGTACATCAGCGCCCCCACAGCCTCGTTCAGGACCTGCCAAGAGGGGGGTGCCCGCCAGTCACACCCGGGTCCCCTGCCTGCCTGCTGCCCCTAACCCAGCCCAGACACCAGGGCGGGGGGGACCACCCCATCCCCAGTCTGGCCCCAGCCTGGGACAGTCCACGGGTCTCCTCTCAGCCTTCTCAGGCTGGAAGCCGCTGCCCTGACATCTGAGGTCACCACAGTGTGGCCCCGCTGACTTGGCTCACTCACCAAGGATCCAGGGGCCCCGCCCCATAATCTGCAGGCCCAGGAGAACGCACTGTAGGGGGCTCACCTTGCCCTTGGGCACCAGACGGTAAAGCAGACAGAGAACGCCAGGCGGTGGGAGGACACAGAGCGTCGGAACCCCAGCCCCACCCTGGCCCTGTGGGGGTGGGTGGGGGCGGCGGAGAGCCCCAGGGCCGCTTTGACAAATTGCGACCAGGGCGCGGCGGCCCCATGAGGAAGCTACACATAATCGCGGTAGAAGCGCACATGGGGCCGCGAGACCATGAACAACAGCGGGTGAAGGACGACCACCCGCTTCACCTGCGTGAGGAGGACGGCCGGGCGGACCTTCAACTTGCCCCCCGGCTCCGGGGCCAGCACGGGGCGCAGGCGGCACGGGCCTCCCCCTGGCTGGGGCCTGGGCGCCCTGCATGAGGCGCCGCGCGCATCCTGGTGTCCTGTCTCCCCGGTGGTGGATGACGCGGGCTGATGCGCCCCTCCGCTTGCAAATGCGCCCGATGGGGGCGGCCTTCCCCAAGGTTAGGGCTCCACCCACGGCCCCGCCCACGCGCGGAGCTGTCCGTGGGTGGGGACAAGCCCTGGAGAGGAAGGCAGCGCAGAGCCACGCCCACCCCCACGCGGGGCCCGGTCTTTGCTGACCCCACCCCCACGCGGGGGGGCAGACAAGTGCGGACCACGCCCACCCCACGCGGGGGGGCAGACAAGTGCGGACCACGCCCACCCCACGCGGGGGGCAGACAAGTGCGGACCACGCCCACCCCACGCGGGGGGGCAGACAAGTGCGGACCACGCCCACCCCACGCGGGGGGCAGACAAGTGCGGACCACGCCCACCCCACGCGGGGGGGCAGACAAGTGCGGACCACGCCCACCCCACGCGGGGGGGCAGACAAGTGCGGACCACGCCCACCCCACGCGGGGCCTGCCCCCGCGGACCACGCCCCGCCTCTCTCCGGTGCAGACCACGCCCCCTGCGGGTTACTCCCAGCGAGCACAGCACCCGCTGCGGACGCCCCCCCGCGCGCCCGGCAGCCACACAGGAGGCAGGGACGCCTGGTTCCTGGGGGCTTCGTCCACGTTCAGGAGAGCAGCAGGCCGCGCCCCAGGGCCACAAGCGCCGCCTTAAAGGGCTATGGTGGCAAGAGCCAGATGTTGGTGGAGGAGCCGCAGGGTCCACTCTCCGGGCGCAAGGGCTGGAGGCCCGAGGTGCCCCAGACGCACAGCGTAATCCACGGCAGGCCCTGAGCTCGGGGACTCCAACAGGGAAGAACTGGGCCTTGTAATCAAGGACATCTCAAATTCAAACAAACGCCCGGGGGCACTGTGCCGCTGTGTCCGCCGGACGGAGCTTCCTGTGCGGACTCCGGGTCCCCCAGGACGAGTGGGGCCAGTGGCGGGCTGTGCACAGGCTGCGGGATGGCAAGGCACCAGGTATGAGCTGAGGGGGCCGCGCCCAGGACAGCCTGGACGCTGGGCTGACGGGGCAGTGGCACAGAGCAGGTGTCCCGTGTGGGGCGCAGGGTGCCAACTGCCCCGTCTCAGTCCTTGTCTACGACAGCTGAGCCCCCGCTGCACAGACAGCAACCCAAAATACAGACAACTCCCTCAGGCTGGCATGACCTCCCTTTCCCTGCCAGCAGGGGCGGACGGGAGACATGGCTACGGGGACCCCACAAAAAGGGCCAAGGGAGAGACGACTGAGCAGCAGGGCAGGGGGAGCCAGGCCCCTGGTCCTGCGAGCTCTGGCCGGCTGGACTTGAGGGGGATGAACGGCTGGGTGCCGGGGGCCCCTGTCCTGTTCCCTGCACGGAAGATGCTAGGAACTTCTGCTCCTAGAGGCAAGGGTGTGCCAGGCTGACCTGGGAACGAACAAGACGGGTCACTGCCCACATCCTGATGGCTGTCCCCCGCCCCCAGATTACGGGAAGGAGGTCCAGGCTGCACAGGTACCTCTGGCACCTTGACTGGACCTGGTGCCCCCACCTGGGGGGGTGGGGGGGCAGGAACCCATGTGTGACAGGGGAGCAGCAGTGAGTGCTCACGGGACACACGGAGGAGCACGTAGGGAGGGCGGGCAGGAGTGGACTTGGTGAGGGCTCCGGGGCAGACCTCGGCCAACAAGACGCAGGTGAGAGTCCCCTGGCTGCCCTGTGCCGTGCTGCACAGACCAGAGAGGAGGGTGGCCATGGCACGGGGGTGGGGGCGAGGGGACAGGCCTGCCGGTGCCCACTGCGGGCAGACACGGCGTGCAGCGGAAACGGAGGCTCAGACGCATGCAAGCCGGCGTCAGCAGGAGCAGCCCTGGGCCCAGGGGCAGCCGGACTGCGGACGGGAGGCTCCGGAGGTGAGCCTGGGTCTCCGGCCTGGGCGGCTGGACGCACGCGGGCCTCGCTGAGGTGGCTCAGCTGTGGACAGGTGGAGAAGCCTGTATGTGTGCAGGCGGCTGACTTCTCTTGAGCATTTAACCACGGCAGGACTGTCCCGCGCGACGTCCCAACGTGGGACAGTCCAGAATCTGTTGGAACATCCCACTGTTGGGGCGTCTGGGTTACATCCAGCATTGGCTGCAATAAAAATCCACGACTGCCTTGAGATAAGTCGCTAGCAGTGCAAACTAGTGGGTCCACTGGAAAGATCTCTTTTTGGGCTCTTGGCGCACCTGGCGGTTTCGACCCCTCACCAGCACTGACCCAGCAGCGCCGGGCAGTCTGGAGTTCAAAATGCTACGTGTGAGGGGCACAAATTGGTACCCATTTTTTAGCCTTAGTTTGCACCTCTCAGTGTGACCTGCCCACGTGTTTTCTTGGTAAATTATTTTTTCGTGTCCTAATCCTTTTCCTACTGAGCAAATCTTTAATCGCACAGCATACCAAGTGAAGCGTTCTCCAAACAGGAAGCTGCACACTCCTCAGCGGCCTCCCACCCCTGGCCCAGTGCCAGGGGCCCCCGTCCAACGGGGGCGGGGGAGGGGAAAGCCCGTGCAGGCGCAGCTCCGTCCAGAGGAGAGCAGGCCAGGACCTGGTCCGCGCCACTCCACCCGGCCCCTGGTCCACGCTCCTTGGAGGTCCCTTGCATTCCCTCTCGTGACCACAAAGTGGCTGGGACACCCCCAGGTACCACACTGACCTCCCAGAGGGGAAGTCTGTCCCCTTAATTCAGAAACCAGTAAACTCACACCCCCCTCCGGCAGCCGTGTGGCCAGGCTAGTGACTTCACTGTGTCTTTAGCCCCAGAGGGGGTACATGGGGCCCATCTTGCAGGATGACTCAGCACATGGGCCCCGGGGTGCTCACAGCAGCAGGGCCGAGGGGTACTCACCGGGCAGCACGCAGAAGGGGGCCACTAATGGCCGGTTGGGAAGATGCATGCTGGGAGGTCCGGCCAGGGCCCACCACGCCCCCTCATCCCGTGCACACGCACGATACACAAGCTTCCTGTGACTTCCTTACGTTTTACTTACTTTCTGGGTCCACATACAAAGATGTGGCTCATTTTGTGGGGCTGTGGCTCAGAAAAGCATGGTAGTGACACGGTGCCCCAACACACTTTTATATGGTTGCAGACATCTCCCTGTGACAAAGCCGCGTGCAGGCCCAGAGGGGAACAGGGCACCTTTCAGGTTTTTGCAGAAATGCCAAAGCACCATCAAAGCAGGCCACAGCCGTGGCCACCACTGGGCAGGAGCGGCGCCTCGTGTGTCCCGATGCGGCCAGAGGCGGGCTCTGCGGGGTGCGGGAGAGCCTGGGGGTGGCGGCAGTGTCACCTGCTTCCTGGCAGTTGCTTTTGCCCAAACGCCCCCTCCCTCCCCACCTTCTGCCGGGATCTCCCGTTGCTTGGAGGCGCCGAGTACTCGCTGCCGAGCCGCTGGCGCGCTCAGGCGCTGCACCCACCCACCCTTTCCCGCTCCTATTTCCTGTGCCACGGGACTGTCGTCACTGCTCTTCACTCCAGCGACCTTTTCCGTTACACGGCCCCGCCCTCCACAGACCGCAGCACAGCCCCTCCAGAAGCCCCTGCTTGTTAAGAGACACGCACGCGGGCGGCCGCTCACCTGGGAGGCTGTTCCGGGGCACCTACGGCTCACTGCCCAGATCCTCACCCCCGCCCCAGGGCCTCTGGCCCGTCTGCTCAGTGGGCACCAACGCAGCCCTACTCTCTGCCTGAGTCGCTATGACGTTCCTGCCCAAAGCCACCGTGTGCCACGCGCTCCTCGCCTCAAAGCCTGTCTCTGCGTCTGCCTGGACGTTCCCCTCCCTCCTCACACGGCCCCGGCACCTCCCTCCCAGGACCGGGCGCTTCACTTCCGACCAGGATTCTCGATGCTCTCCCTGTGCCCTGGCCATCTTCTTTACACGTCCCCACGCTGCTGCCTCCAGGGCCCCGCCTTCCCAGAGACGCCCCTCAGGGACTCCCCACTTGGGGCCCCCTCCCTCACGACTGCCCCCTGCTCTGCAGGGCCTATCTTTAAGGAGCTCCCCAGGAGAGTAAGAGAAAAGGCCCCTGCCTCTGCGGTCAGAGCAGCTGCAAGCCGGCTTGACCAGTTTTCCGCAGAAGCCTTAAGGCACCCAGTGTGGGGCTGCTCTGACCCTCGCCGCTCTGTGGGCAACGAGCCCCTCACGCCCGCACTGCTGGGGTCAGCTACTGGAACAGCAGGGCATCGGGGGCCCCGAACACCCATCCTGGGTTTGCGGCAGGAGAGCCGGGCCTCCATTTAGCTCCGGAAGGTTTCTTCATCACATGTGGCGCTAGCCTCAGTCTCTCCTCTGTAACACCCGGGTGACATGTGACGTCCAGCTAGTTACGAGCAGGTAGAAGCCGCTGACCCACAGTGCGGTGGAAGAGAAGCTGCCTCCCTCCCGAGCCGAAGCCCGCAGACAGGCGGCCCCCGGGCCCGTGTCCGCTCCACAGCCACCAGGGGGCAGGGCTCCTGCCGCGTGGCCCCGCCGCTCCAGGTGGCGGCCCGGGCTCCGGCCAGCACCCGAAACCCTCCACCTCCTCCTGGTTGGGCTGAGTCACGTGGCTACACTTGGCGGCAAAGCTTGGGGAAGGGAGTGCGTTTCCACTGGGAAACGGGGGATTCCGAGGGTGGCGGCTACGCGGGCACGTAGGCTCGGGGCTGCCGGGGCGGCGCGGCTCTCCTCTGGTCTCACCACTCCCACTCTTTCAGGCTCCCCGTGACTGTGTCTTCCAAGCTTTCTATGAAGATTAAAACTTCCCACTCGCGGGTCTGATTCCCACGTGCGCGACGCAGTTCTCGGATGCCGCCTTCCAGTCACGAGTGGCGGCTGCACCAGCAGGTGGCCCCGCAGGCCTCGTTTAGGCTCTAACTGGCCAGGTCCCGACGCTCGCTTCCACCCGGAGCGGAAGTCAGGGCGGTCCTCTGCGCGCACCCGCATCCCTGGCCTCCTGAGCCGTGTGGCTGCGGCGTCCAGCTGGAGGGCTGGGCCGGCAACGTCTGTCTGTCTCGTCTGTCTGTCTGCTGGGCACGGGGCAGAGTCGCTGAGCTGAGGCTCCTCCCTGCCCCTCCCCGGGTGTCTGACTTATCTGGGTTTTACATGAAGTTATTGAGAGAGTTTTGATAACTTACAACTTTAAAAGAACACATGCTTTGTGTCAGTTTTCAAATTTATTGGTAGAACTTGCTTTAATGTTGCTTATGGTTTTTAAACATTTCTATCTCTGTCTCTCTCATGCCCCATATTGGTTTTAGTTTTAAACTAAAAGTTTTTTGGGGCGTCTGGTGACTCAGTCGGTTAAGCGCCCAGCTCCTGACTCCACTTAGGTCTTGATCTCAAGGTTGTGTGCTTGAGCCCTACATCGGGCTCGGTGCTTACAGTGTGCAGCCTGTTTGGGTCTCTCTCTCCCTCTCTCTGCTTCTCCCCGCTTGTATGTGTGCACTCTCGCTAAAATAAAACTGTAAAAAAAAATTATTTTTATACATATAAAAAAGTAAATCGATAAACTAAAAGTTTTAGTTTGAAATAGTAGAAGGTTCATAAGAAGTTTTCAAAAGTCGCCCTTCCCCAGGTCTGCAGCCAGTTCTCCATCTTTCCGCGTGTGCACACGCGCGGCTCCATCCGGTGTGGATTCCAAGTGGCCGCTGCCCAGGCGGACCACGGGCCAGCCCATCACTCAGCCCCACGCGACCCGCCCCGAAACCAGAGCCCCCACACGCTCTCCCCCGGCGCCACCACACTCGCCAGCCCCCCCTGGGGGACTCCAGGTCAGGTGGAGGATTCGGGCAGATGGGAGGTTCTCTTCTCTGCAATGGACATGGGGGGGGTCACCACTGGGGGAGGGAGGTTGCAGCGTGTGCCTCCCGCAGGGGCTGCTCTGTGAGTGCCCCATGGCCAGCAGGCGTCTGCCAGCTCTGGAAGCTGGTGGGCTGTCACCGGGTCACGTTGCTCCGACCCCCTCCCCCCGACCACCATGGTAGTGCCTGAGCTTTCTATCAGCAGCATGCAAGCCCACCCCACCCTCGGAGACCCGTCCCATCCCATGGCATCCAGGCCCCTGTGGGTTTTCTTCCACAGTTATGGCTTCTCTCTGTGCAGGCAGGGGCCATCTGCCCACACGCTCAGGCTCTGTGACGGACACGCGGCACAGATCCATTGCTGGAAAGGACATGAGGCTCAGCCAATGGGGCCGTCCCCTCCCAAGGACCATCCGTGGCCTCTGCCAGGCCCCCAGGCCGCAGCAGCGTGGGGTCACCGGCACCCCAACTCCAGGCCTGTCACGGACGTAAACAGGCTGGGTGGCTGGCATGTGACAGCGGCGGCTTCGTCCAGTCCATCCTGGCGCCAGGGCCCCAACCCGGACTTGGGGCTACTCTGTGCCCACAGGCCCTCTGGGAGCCCTGTCCAGAAGCAGACACCCCAGGCCTAAATGCTTGGCCGCCAGCCTGGGACGGCCCAGGTGACCAGTGTGGGACCAGGATAAGGCAGCTCACGGGCCACAGTCCCATCTGCCATGTCCGCCACCCTGGATCTGCTTTCTGGGAACACCTGGTTACCACGGCAATGGCCTCAGAGGGGGCAGGGCGACGATGGCCGCACTTGTCTTGGCGGCAACGGAGCTCCTGAGGCTCATGCCTGAGGGGCCTGCCTGCCCTCCTCGCTCCCCCGAATACCCCACGCCATTACCTTCTCGTGGATCTCCTGCGTGGACTGTGCGTCACAGAAGGCCACTGTGGCCACGTCCTTCAGGATGGGCATCTCCACTGTGCAGTCCCGGCCGTCCAGCAGTGCCACCAGGGGCCGGGGGTGCAGGGGCCCGTTCATGATCGGGGGTCGGACGCCTGTGGAGACAGGAGCGGATGCTTAGCACAGGGACGGCCCTGGCTGAGACCTCGTGGCCCGCCGCCCGCCACCACCCGTGGCCCCGAGAGTTTGGCGTCCACTCATCTGGACTGGGTCAAACCAACGTCTCTGCTGCTCACTGACACCCGAGTGAACGGGGACCCCTGCCCACAGCCACCACTCCACGGGGCTCAGAGCTGCACACAAGTGTGGAAGTGCCGGGCCAGCCACGGTCTTCACCACTGTGACCCTGGGACATGCAGACGCGGCACCACAGCCTTCGTGACAGCACCCGTGGTTTCTTTCCTGCCTAGGGCGGCAGCGTGGCTACCCAGAAACCGCCACAAGACCACGTCCATGTGCGGGTTTGAACAGAGGAGACAGTGCAGAGGCGGGAGGGATGAATCACCGAGACACAGCCAGAGCCCCTCACCTTCCCGGGACAGGGACTAAGCACCACCAGATGCTCTTTCCGCACAGGAGGAAACTACACTTCGTCCAGGAGGGCCTCCTGGGCGACAGAACGGCCACGGTCCGCGTGCCCCACGCAGCCCCACAGCCTCGCGAAGACTCACCCCCAGGGAAGGCCCACGGCCCATCACTGGCCGGCCCCAGGGGCGCACAGCCCACCCACCGCCTTCCACAGCCTTCATGAGCCTCTCAGATGCAGCGGCCCCAGTAGGCAGCTCCACTGGGGTCTGGGGGGCCAGACCCCCACCCCGCTGCCTCCCCCACAGCCCCGTGAGCGGGCGGTGCGTGTCCTGCCCCCGCGGGTTCCCAACAGCCTGGAGCTGCACGCGCACAGGGATCTCCCGTCTCCAGTCCTGCTGGGAGAGCACGGTTTCCCTCGGAAGGTTCACTTATCGGCAGAGGCTCATCGTCGCTGTTCTCGTGACCTAGGGAAGGCCGGCCGCTGGCACCCCTCAGTGCTAACCTCTAACAGCACGGACCAGCGCCACCCGTGCCAGCTAAGGCTGGAAGGCAGCTTGTGGGCCACAGCCTGGAACGGCCCCCGCGGGCCCGTACACCACGGATGCCAGGGCACCGCCAGCTGCAGACCACACCGTGGCTGGTGAGCAGCACATGAGCAAATGCCTGGATGCAGTGGCAGGACCTCCGACCGGCCGACACCCCCTCACCCAGGGAGGCACTGGCATCCCGATCACGCAGCCGGCGCCGGAACAGGCCCTGGGTTTCCATGGTAACACCCCAACCCAGCACCGAGTTCACGGGGGGATGAGCAGAACCCAGCATCGCCCTGCGGCCTGGCCCCCTGCCCCGGGGAGGTGGGGGTGCTGGCCCCCCTGAGGAACACCCTCACTGCGCAGCACGTGCCGGGGGGCAGGCCAGGCCGCCCTGGACCGGGCGCATGGGGTGACCATGCTCCGTGCAGCCACAGAGGGACAGGCTCCCAGCTGCCGCACGCTCCGGGAGCCCCGACCAACCTGACATTTCTTAATATGGGCTCAGCTTCCACGACCATGAATTCGACTTTTCAAAGCGATTTATCTTCAGAATCCCCCGGCAGAACTGCGTCCTGTCACTGGATCCTCATCCCACGTCTTTAATTGTCTCGAACCAAAGCTCTTAGGCTCCTGATCCGCCGCGACCACCGAAGCCTGCGCCGGGGTCAAAGTCTGACTAAAAATTAAACACAAGAGACACGTTAAAACACCATCGCAAGCCGGCTAGGACTCTCAGACGGCAGCCGCTCCACACTGCATCCCGGACCCGGGCCTGTGGTGCCCAGGCTGGACGGGACCTGCCCTGAAGGTCCTTGTGCGCGGCCCCGCCCCACGTGCTACCAGTGTCCTCGAGGTGCGAGGCCGGGGCCCGGGGGCTGGTCTGCGGCCAGCCTACAAACTGCTGTCTCCTGTCCCCACGTCCTGGGCCTCTGTGACTGCGCAGGGGGCCGCTGGAGGATGCAGACTGGACAGACACCACTGGCCGGCACCACACGGGCTGTCCCCCGGGCCCCCTCTGCCGGTCCGCGCAGGCCATACCCCTGGCACAGCGCCCCTAACAGGACACTGAGGACCCACACCTGTAGGGCAGGCTGAGGACGTGCCAGGAGCTGGAACTGAGCATGGATGCTCGGGACCCCTGCTCTCAGCATGAGGACAGCGTGCCGGGGCAGCCCCGAGGCCTGGCTAGTGCCACGGTGACCGGGACCCACGACTCCATCAGCACAAACCTCAGGATCGGGAGCACCTCGGGAGGCCCGGCACAGAGCAGGGAACACACGCACCGCCCTCCGCCTGACGCCGGCCACAGGACAGGGCAGGCCGGCCCCAGCAGGGACGTACCTGCGGCCTGTGGGACCCGTGAGGCTCTCACCCTTGCCAGACCCCAGCCGTGACCACCACCCTGCGGTCCTGGCTCGAGCCTGGGCCCCACCCCCACATATGGAGGTACCTTACAACCCGAACCTTGCCGACTGGGCTCGACCGGGCAGGACCCAGCCTGCAGCAGCTCCAGGACACGAGACGGCAGGGGAGTCTGAGGCAGGTCCAGGAGGTGGTGACGGCGCCAGGCCCAGGCTGCTCCCACAGCCATCACCCTCCCAGCCTGGAGGCAAGCCTCACCCTTCACCTTGACCTGCACAAGAGGAGCTTGGGGCCAGCAAGGGGCATGAGGTGTCCGGGCCCAGCTTGGCAAGCTGGCCGCCAAGGACGCAGGTATCCACCAACAGCAGACAAGTAAAAGCCCGGGGGTCTGGCCGGCCTGGCCTCCCCCCGGTGGCGAGCACCACAACTGGCCCAGACAAAGGAAGCACCACTTCCAGGGCCACACGGAAACCCCGCACTCCCTGGCATCTGCTGACCTGGGGGGGGGGGGGCAGCTGCAGGCAGGGCCCCCACCCCATGGCCACGATCAGGCAGAGGCGGGAGGGAGCACCACAGAACCCCAAGACCGGCCACTTCTCCACGTTCCCCTACTTTCTGAGGCTGGCCGCAAACTGACTCCAACCTGCAGCCACAAAACCCTGTCTGCTCTCTTCACCTCCATGTAGCCAAGTGGGTCCACCTGTCCGCCCTGCCTAACCCCCCGCCCCCGCACTCTCAGCAACTGCAGGCGAAGGGGGGTTCGGAATGGGTCATAGCCAACTGTGCAGTCACTAGGCTTTCTTCACTTTCCCCCCTAAATCCTGAAAGCGCCCAGGGTGTCCCCAGCCAGACCCTCCCCGGTCAGCGTGGCCCTCGGCAGATGGCGTTTCCGCACACTCGCACGCCCTTCCAGGGGCCCAGGGCTGTACGCCCTGTACATGCAGGTCCCGAGTGCCCCTGCACCCCTGGGGAGCTCGGCCAGACCTCTCGGGCACTCTGACATCGCGCCCTGTGCTCTCCCGTGCCCACTGCTAACCTTTATTGTGAAAATGATTTCAGAGGGAAGTTCTGCTTCACCAACATCTGACCTGGGCTCAGAAACCCACGAGCAGCCTCCAGCGGCTGGGTTCCCAGGCTTCCTCACTATGGGCAGAGGTGTGAGCCCCAAACAGGCAAGCACCAGCAGGCGTGGGGCTCAAAGGCCAGCCCGGGTCAGGCCCCGTGTGCAGATGGGTGGTGACTTCAGGCCCGGGCCACACCCCCGCCCCACAGGCCTCCGGACCCTGCAACAGCACGGGGCCGGGGCGGGTGAGTCAAGTCCAGCAGCAGCGTGTGACATGGGAACTCGGCCACCCGGCCCTGATGGAGAGAATAACAAGGCCGTCTGACTGCAGGAAGCTTCCAGGCTGGTGCTGGGGGATGTTCATGGTGTGAAAACACTATCTCCACCTCGTTTCTAGAAAATGCCGAAGAGGGGCACCTGGGTGGCTCAGTTGGTTAAGCGTCCAACTTTGGCTCAGGTCATGATCTCACGGTTTGTGGGTTCCAGCGCCGCGTCGGGCTCTGTGCTGACAGCTCAGAGCCTGAAGCTGCTTCGGATTCTGTGTCTCCCTCTCTCTCTGACCCTCCCCTGCTCACCCTGTCTCTCTCTCTCTCTTTCTTCCTCCCAGAAATAAATTTAAAAACATTAAAAATAGTTTACAAACTGCTAAAGAGAAGCCCCCCCAAGCGATCTCACTGCTCGGAACTGGAGGGCCAGGAGGACACAGCGGCAGCAGGGAGGGCACAGCAGGAACACACGGCGGGGGGGGGGGGGGTGCCTCGGGCCGGCAGTCAGGACAGGGCCAGGGTCACCACTGTCCCCACTGCATCCACTCTCCTCACCCAAATACCTTTTCTCAAGCAGTTTTGCTGTCATTAATTTTCTAGAAAACAGTTTTGCAGTAAACAATAAAATCACAAAAACTAAAAAACGTTCATTAAAAAAGACAAAATGAGGGGCGCCTGGGTGGCTCAGTCGGTTCAGTGCCAACTCTTGATTTTGGCTCAGGTCATGATCTCACGGTTTGGGAGATAGAGCCCCACGGTGGGTTCTGGGCTGGCAGCAAGGACCCTGCTTGGGATTCTCTCTCTCTCTCTCTCTCTCTCTCTGCCCTTTCCCCACGCACGTGAGCTCTCCTCCTCTCAAAATAAGTAAACTTAAAAGGAAAAAAAGACAAAACACGAAAAACGGACCACTTTACCCCAAGACAGAAAACGCTAGAATCCGTCTACACTGGCGCATGCGGGTTCGGCGGTGCTGGCGCCCAGCCGGCTCCAAGGGCACTCCAGGAAGAGGCGCCAGCTGGCACCCACCGGCACATCCCCGCTGCCACTAACCCCAGGCGCCCTGCCACACGCCCCTCGCGGCTCAGTCACCGCAGGGCTGAACTTTCAGAGCATCAAGGGGCGTCCGCCTCAACAGGGAAATGAAACCAAACCGGCCGCCAGTCCAGGAAACCCACGAGTGGTTTTACAGTTATTTTTTACTCTACACTCTCTCTCAGCAAGACCGCGTCCTGGCCAGTGAGGTCCGCCTCGGGCTGCCCCGGCTCCCCGAACACGCGTGCACGGCACCGACACACGGCAGCACCCGGCCACGCCTCCTGCTTCCCCTCTGCCCTCGTGGGCGGGACCCTGTGTTTAAAAGGGGACAGCTGAAGGGAGCGAGGCCAGCAGGGCCAACCCCAGGGGCCGTGTGCAGGCTCATTTCCCGCACACCCCGTGGGTGCACCCCTTCCTCCTGGTGCCCACCCACGGTGACCAAAGGGAGGCTCCTGAGAGCCGCCTGCTCCAAACGGCAGCAATGGCTCTTGTACCGAGAGCCCCTGGGCCAGGGAAGGAGGCCCGAGTATCAGCAGTGGAGGTCAGAGACCCGACGGGGGTCTGGGAGGTTGGGACACAGGCTGCTGCCCCTGCACGTCCCCGCAGTCCACACCACCAGGCTCCCTTCTGCCCCCGCCAACCCCAATGTTCCGCTCCCGACCACACGCGGGCTGGCTTCCAGCTTCGGCAGAAGGGGGGCATCTGCAGGCACCCACCACAGCACCTAAGAGGCACTCCGCGAGCCCACGGGGAGGGAGTGAATTCTGACACCCGCCTGACACACGTGCCTGCTCCACTCACCACGGAATGAGCTGCGCTCTCAGAGCTGGTGGCTCTGGGGGGCTGGGTGCCCACAGTGGGAGGTGACAGTGCCCACACGGGGCCCCGCGACCACGGGCGCACATCTGCATCCCCACCAACTCAGCAAGGTGGGGGGGAAGCGCAGCAGTCAGCACGGCTAGTGACATGGGAAGCCCTCACAGGAGCCAGGCGTACACAGTGGCAGAGGACCCACAGGGCTGCAGCGGACGCCTCTGCCGGCCGCCACCCGGCACGGGCCCACAGAGAGGCAGGCGTGAGCGCCAGCGCGGCGGCTGCCCCTCATGTCCGCTCATGATTCCAGGTGGGACCCACAGGTGTTCTTCAGGCAGCAGCACGAAGCAGCGGGGGGTGGGCAGGGGGACAGGACTCCAGCTGGGACACAAGCACCCTGACTGGAAAAGCCCCACCCAGCACGGGGGAGCTGTGTGCAGGGGGTGCACACGCTCTCTGTCCTGTCCTCAGTGTCGTCCTGAAGTCTGAAGCTAGTCTCAAAGCTCATTTTAAAGAAAATGCAGCAAGAGAAGGGACCACAGGTGCCAGGGGCCCCGCTCACGGGTGTCTGCGCAGAGCACTGGGGACCTGTCTCCCCCTCCCCCGCCACCCCCTTCCCGGCAGCCACTCCTGCTACCCCCACTCCCAGCCCTGCTGTGCTTGACTTGACGTGGCGTCCTCAGCCCGGCTCTGCACTGGGGGGGGGGGGGGGTCACTCGGGAGGAGATCAGGGGTCTGGGGACAGACCAATCACAGCAGCTTCCTGAAAAGCTGGCCTGCTCTTCACGCAGCGCCCCCCAGCTGGGGACCCCGAGTCCTCCCAGCACCAACTCCGACAAGCACGCCAGCTCAATGCCCACAGCTCGCCCCCAAGGCTGCTTCTCAGGCCTCAGAAACCAGGCTGTCTCCCCACCCCCGCTCAGGCCCCAGACTGGCAGCCATGGCCCAGGTCTCCCCACTGCCACAGCCAGGCCCCGGGTCCTAGATGCTGCCTCCGGGACACTGTGCCTCACCCACAGCCTGTCACACTCCTGACACCCTCAGTTGCTGCCTAGCCCCTGCCGGTCCTTCCTCCCTCCTCCATGAAGCCAGATGACCCTCAGCCACAGGCCCACGGGCTGCCCACGCAGGCCCCCTCCGTCCTTCAGCTCCCGGACGGCGGTCACACACCCCCAACGGCAGCCTCCTCGGGCTGTCCCGGTCCAGAGGCCCTGGGCCTGCGGAATGCGGGACAGCCCCCACGGCAGAAGCGTGTCCCGCCTGGGGGAGCCGAGCCCGCGCAGGCCAGGCCAGGGCCCCCCTGGGGCGGTGCAGGGCTGCGGACGCAGTGGCCTCCCAGACCCGGCGGGCCAGGGTCCCCGTGAGCCGCACGCACTGTGCCGGCCCCGGACCTCATTCTGACCCAAGGTACTGAGTGCCGCCCACGTGCGGACTAACCCGCGCAGAGGCACGCTCTCGTCCCTAGGTGCTCCTCTCGCGCTCTCACGCGGCTTTGTGACGCCTCAGAAGCCCACAAACGGGCACCTAATCGCCAACTTGGAGAGGGTGCTGGCTGGCGATGGAGGGAATGTGGCCTTCCTGCCCCTCCGCACATGGCATCCCAGAGCTGCCTCGGGGAGACCCCACGGCGTGCCACCGCCTTGGAGACCTGGGTGCACTGCAGGACACGGACGTCACAGACGCAGGAAGGCGCAGTCACGGCTCCACGGCCTCCACCGGAGATACGTGGCCTGCCCAGGGCCCCGAGTCAGCCTCCGGGCAGGCCATGGTCCACGCCTGCGGAGGGTCCGGTGTAAGCGCCGCCTCAGCCCCACCCCCGCCCGCCGACCCGCTGGATTTCTTCCCCACAGCCCCAGGCTCCAGCCTGCCATGCTGTTCTGTCGCCCCCCCCAACTCGCCGAGCACAGTGCTCTTGCACCGTGGCGGCCATCTACGGCCAGGCTCCAGGGCTCACAGGGACCTCAGGGACTCCTCCCTGAGGGGGACACACGCAGAAACGACTTGGCACAGGCGTGACAAGAAGCACGCAAGACCCCCGGCTTGGTAGGAAAATGGGTGCCCCCACTTTAGGACAGCCTGGGGCTCGTCTGGGCAGGCCCATGAGGGCACCACGCCAGCGCCAGCCTGTGGCCCATGCACGGCTGAGGTTCTGGGGAGGACAGTGACATGACACGTGAAGTTCCGTCTGAGGACTGGAGGCAAATGCGGTGTGGACACTCCCCACCCACACAGATGGCGGAGCCAGGGCCAGACACAGCCCCCTTCACCCCCCGAGCCTGGCACGGGTCCTCCTTCACGCCACCAGCAGAGGGAAACCAGGAGACGCGGGCAGCCAGCAACAAACTGTGCCTCGGCCATGCGACCCAGCAACACCCAAGGGCATGGGCACGAGAAGTTACCGGGGCAGGTGAGAGGCACGGCAGAGAAAAGCCCCGTCCTGGGCCCGGCCCTCTACTCACGGCGTGCTGGCCCAAAGGAAGCCCCGCCGATCTTCAGCTCCCACCAGGCTGGAGGGGAGCCAAGGCCAGACCCGCCTCTGAACCCAAGGCCCCTTCTCCTGCGGAGAGCTGTTCATCTCTGCCTTGGGGCTCCAGACAGGAGTGGCTCCAGCTTCCCAGAACGTGGGGCTCTCAGTGCTGAGCACTAAGAACGGGGCCCCGCCAGAGAGCGGTCAGCAGGACCTCAGCAGGGCAGGCGAGACAGGCCCCAGCCCCCTGCCCCCACGTGTCCTCAAGCTGAAGAAAAGAGGCGGGAAGGGAAACCCCAAATGCACCCGGCAGAGAGCACGGTCAAGGGCTGAGACAGGTCACCCCTGCCACAAGTCCATTTCTCAGAAATGGAGAGATGAGAGAGCACGCCATCGCGGCTGAACGGACTGGAGGTGCTCCCCCAGGGAGGCCACACAGCACGTGCCTGCACGTGGCAGGCACAGATGCAGCCCCGGGCGTGCGTCCCTCACGAGGCCTTGCAAAGGCATCCAAACCAAACCATGTGTTCAAAGGCAGCAATGAAACCCGACAGAGAAGAAACCTGGAGAGACCATGGAACAGAACAGCCGGCCCCCCAGGGCCGGCACACACGGCAGGCACAACTGGGAGCCGGAAGGAGGGGCAGCAGACCAGCGCCCGGGTCCAGCAGGGCCCCCGTGGCCGCCCCTGGCACAGCCCTGATGTTCTAGGGCAGAGAGAAGGTGAACCCCAGAGCTCACACATCACCAGGGGACCAGGATGGTGGGCACACAGCGCAAAGCAGAACTGCCCCCAGGCCCTGCTCCTGTCTCCATTCCTGCCCCGCAACCTCACTGTCCCCAGGCCCGTCCTGCCTCGCCCCTCACCCTGGCCCCATCCTGTCTCCTAGTCCTGTCCCCAACACACAGCAGATGCACACTCGTCATCCCACATGGCCTCACACTACCATCCCCACCTTAGAGACTCGTACAGAGATCATACAACAAGTCCAAGAGCAAACGCTGGTCAGGGGCTTGGCTGGGACACCCCTAGGATGGGATGGGTCTAGGCTCCGGTCCTCTCGGGTCACTCGGCTAAGAAACTCGGGATGCCTCCACGCAAGGGTGGATGGCCTGCACTGACCCACAGGATGGGTGTGCACTGCTCCATGTGCTCAAATGCCTGCAGTGCTGGAGGCCAGTTGCTACTGAGCACTCTTCCGTGTGTTATTTTTATGCAAATGAAGTCGCTGCTCTTGAAGGAGGCAGCGGGTCCTGGAAAAGGGGAAGCCAGGTGGGAAGAGGAGGTGTGGCCATCCCCCCCATGTGCGACCTAATTCTCCAGCCACCCCAAGAAGTGGGAGCTGGGTGAGGATTTCAGCTCTGACTACTCCATTCAGACTAACGGGAAGACAGTCAATCCCGTCCCACTTCTGGGTGACAAGTGGTTTTCCTTTCCCCGACCAGAGGGCAACCTGTCCTAAACAAGCACCAGGAAAATCATCACTATAAAGGAGTCTGGCCGCTGGCCAGGTTCCCAGCTTCTCCAAGACGCAGCCAGCTTCAAGGCTGTCCTCCCGGGCATGCCTTGAGGTGGTGCCCTCATTTCTCTGCACGCAGGCTGAGGGCTGGGCAGGGCACCCAGCCACAGAAAGATCTAGCCTCCAACTCCTGGCTCAGGTGCGGCTGCAGTCTCCCTCCCACAGGCCTCGGGGAGCCACTGCCCCAAGGCTCCAACGCACAGCAGAGGGGAGGAGGGGCCGCTCCCTGGCCCACCCAGGCTGGCCCCTCCCTGGCTGCACCCACCCGGGAGGAAGCCCCAGGCCCTGCAGCCTGGAAATTGACCAGGAACTGCAAGATGGCCCCTTACACTTCGGCTCAACAGGGGGCACCAGGCACTGACATGGCGACCAAACCGGCACCCCCTCCCAGGAGCGTCCTCAAGCTGGCCTACTCCCCTACAGCCCCGGCCTCAGGGCCGGCCCCGTCTTGTCTAGAGCACCTGCCAGTGTCCTGGGTTCTGACCCTTTTCAAAACACGAGGGGGAAAACAGGTGCCTTTGACAAACCCAAAGGGTTCCACCCCTCCTGACCTGCTACGGAGGAACCGACTAGTCAGAGGAGTGAGTGCAGTGTGCAGTCGGCTCGGTTGGGGATGTCCGTGCCCCAGGCTGCTGGGCACCTGGGAAGGAAGGGCTGCCCTCCCCACCAGCTGGGCGCCCTGACTTTACACACGTTTAGAAAACCAGTAAACAATTTCAAGAGGCAGCACGAAGCGTGCCATAAAGCCAAGCGCCCCTAAAACCTCCTGAAGGAGCAGCAGGGAGGGGGGAGCCCGGCATCTGCGGCGGCAACACGCGGCCAGCAAACGTGCCCGGGGAGCAGGGCCGGAGCCCGGCGCCCGCAAGCACGCGGCCCTCGCCCGCAGTCCGCGCTCGGCCTGGCCCCCGGGGCCCCCCCCCCACGGCGGCGCGTCCAGGCCGGGGAACCGAGACAACAGCCAGGCCACGGGGGCCCAGCGGGGGCGAGGCCACGCGACCGCCAGGAGGCCGGCCCGGCCCCGGCAGGATGAACGCGGGCCGGGCCGCGAGGGGCCGCGGGGCCGCCGGGCCCAGACGCCACGGCGCACCACCGGCGCGGCAGAGCCCGGACCGGGGGGTCAGGGGCCGGGTGCGGCGCCCCTTTGTGTCACCTGCGCGGGCGGCGGCGGGCGGGGCTGGCGTGACGGCGGCGCCGGCGCACGCGCACTCGCACGCAGCAGCTCGCGCACGCGCACGGCCCTCCGCGGACCCGCCCCCGGCGGCGCGCGGGATGCCGGCACGCACGCGCACTCGCACACAAAGCCGGGGCCCGCGCGCGCCCGCCCGCCCCGCCCGCCGCCCCGCCCCCGCGGCCGGAAATGCGCGCGCGCGGCCTTACCAAGCGGCAGGCCCTTGTTGAGCAAGTGCGAGCTGCCCATTGAAAGGCGCGGGCGGCCGCAGGCCCCGACGAGTCCGGCGCGCTCCGCCGCGAGCCCGGCGCGTGGGGCGGCCTGGGCACCGTCCGCTGCTCCGCCCGCTCGCCTGCGCCCGGGCGCCGCCGTGCCGAGCCGCGCCGCGCCGCGCCAGCAGCCGCTCCACCGGGCGGGGACAGGCGGCGCGCGCGCGGGCGGGGCTTCCGGCCCAGCAGTCTCCTGTTTCCAGGCGCGAGCGCCGCGCAGCAAGACGCGGGCGGCTGAAGGCCGCGCCCGCCCGCCCCGCCCGCCCCGCCCGGGCAGTGAGCCTCTCCCGCCGGCCGCGCCTGGCCGCACCTACCTGCTTCAGCACACCCTGCTACCCCGCACCCACCAGCCCCCCTCCCCTGCCGCCTTGCATCCGCGCGCGCACACACCTGCCCCGCACCCACCAGGCCCCCACCCCCCCGCGCGCGCGCACACACACACACACACACACACACACACCCCTCCGCCCCGCACCCATACTTGCACCTGTTTGGCACCCACCAGGCCCCGCCTGTTCCGAACCCGCACATATACCTGCCCTGCACCAGCGCGCGCACACACACGCACACCTGTGCCGCACATGCACGTGACTGGCACCGGCACAAGCACCCATCTAACACACTTTCCCCGAACACACATCCACTGGGCCTTACTGGCAGGCTGCACCTGCCCCGCACCTCGGAGCGCTCCTAGGCCAGGACCGTTTAAGTTTTCTTGGGCCACTGCAAGGAGGCACCGCAGCTGCGCAGCGGCTCTGGAGGGCCAGAGGGTCGCAGGAGGCCCTGGCAGGGATCCCGGAGGGTTTCTCCGGGCAAATTGGCCTTACGTTTGCGTTCCTGGGACCAAGGAGGAGGTGCACCCATGGCGGGGTGAAGCATGGATGGGAGGCACCGGGAAGAGCTTCCTGATCCTGCAGAGAAGCGCAACGACCAGAGGTCAGCATCAAGAAGCCTGCGCAGGACTTCCCTGAGCCCGGTGGTCCCCGCGAGGTGGCCACATGCGGGTGGAGGGGGGGTTCCCAACCCCTGCCAGAGCAGCCTATGCTTAGTTCCAGAGAGGCACTGGTGGGAGAGTCTCCAGGGCTCCCCTGGGGTGGGGCCTGGCCAGGCCCCATGAGTGAGGTGATCAGGTGATGGGAAAGGACCTGAGGCCAGCCTGGGAGACCCTGGTCCCAGGAGCTGGAATGTTCTCAGGTGGCAGTGAGGGTAGGCAACATGACTGTCCTCCTAGGTAAAAACCAGCAACACGACAGCTGTGTGGTTAGCACTGCACTATTAGTACAGCTCACTGGGACGCGGGGGACAGTCCTGAAATCCTGATATCTGTCCTGTTGTTTTTAAAATTCATAAATTGGTGAGAAAGTGTGGGTGGATTCAATAGAGTAATCGGGAACTGGGATCTATTTGCAAAGCAAATGCTTTTAAACCCTCACTTTGTACTCACCTATGAAAATACCTCCCAAATTGGATTAGAATGTGCAGGGGAAATGAGAAAACAGGGTACAAGGGCACATTTAGCAAATGTCTCAGAGAACTTTTTCTAGACCCAGATGCAAAATGAGTCACAAGGGAAAGATAAGAACTGCAGACCTGGGTGTGTGTCTCACCCCCACACCTCTCACTTGCGCCCACGGCGCCCGCTCACGTAACAGTGTCCAGGACCAGCTTCCCTGTCGTGGCACCTCCAGTGCTGACACCCATAGTGCCCCTTGATGCCTGCCCCCTCCACCTCCCAATCGCCCAGACCAGGGTCACCAGCAGGACTTCTTCCCGGAGAGTGGCCATAGCATGCAAATCAGATGCTGTCACCCCTGCTTAAATCCCTCTGTGGCTTCTCATTGCCCCAAAGAGGAAATGCAAGCTGCTTACTACAGTCAGAGAGCCCGAGGCCTGGGCTACCTAACCTTCCTCTAACCTCCCTTCTATCCTCCAGCCAGGAGTCCTTCCCTACCATGTTACAACCATGTGTCCTCCCACTGGCCACAGGACCTTTGCATGTGCTGTTTCTGCCACCTTCCTCTGCTGGTCCCTCAAGCTTTACCCTCATGCCTGTTATACAGGTTACCTTTGTGTCTGGGCTTTCTCCCTGCTACACAACCAGCTCCCTGGGGACAGGGCTTCTGCTCCCCTGCTCCCAAGTATTTGAGCTGGGAACCTGCTCAATGGAGATGTGGGAAGAAGTGATCCACTCTTCTGAACGTGCCTGCGCCAGGCATGCCTCCCCAGTCCTCAGGAGGACTGGCCAGAGGCACCAAGACCACAGGTGCCCGCCTCTGAGAGCCCACCGCCCTGATGCCCTCCACTCCCCCTCTCCAGCCCCTCCCCATCTTTGCACATGGCCCTGCAGACCCCGATTACCTTCTGAGAACTGGCCTGCAGACAAGGGCCTGAGGGGGCAGATGAGATGGCCCAGCAGAAGCTCATTCCCGTCCTGGCTGTGTCCACTACGGTGCACAGGGGGGACCCCGAATTTGGGACAGTGCTGCCCACCCTGCCTGGCCCAGCTCAACTGTCCCCTGCAGGTAAGGCTGCCCCTCCCAGAAAAACTCACCCCCTGGAAGGCCAGGGCAGGAAGAGCCCCACCTCTTTGCTCTTCAGCAAGACCTAGGTTTGCACCCACAGTAATCCTGGTAGCTCAGTTCTGCCTTTTGTTGAACAAACGCGCACTCTGTAACTTCAGGAGACGGCCGCAAGCCCGGGAAGACCGCAGTAGGTTTCTCCTTCGGGAAAGAGCATGCCCGGCCGGCCAGCTCACGGGCGATATTCCCCTTGTAGCCCAGGCTTCTTTCCTTAAGGGATTCGAGCACATTTCTAATGGCGGAAGTTACCATTTTTCTTCTGTCTCCGTGCACAATAGAAGACTCTCTGTCTTTTAGTTGTTCTGAGTACTCTGAGACGCTGTGCAGACACCTGCGTGATTTGTGCAACGGTCAGTGCGGATGTGAAGCAGCGCTGTGACCCCCATCGCCTGCCCTGGGACACTCACTCGGCATTTACTCAGTGGTTCTTGAGAACACGTCGCAGGCCACCCGGGAAAGCCCTGTCTCCCCCGCGAGCATTGGGAAGAAGCTTTAGGAGGCAGCTTCTGGTGGCTCTGAGGCTCTCAAGATGCCATCACATGGGTGGAGTCATGGAGGGGACAGAGGTGGAGCCCCGATGGGGGAAGGGGCAGTCCTACAGAGATCTGGGCAAAGAATATTCTAGAAAGGGAGCAGCAAATGCAAAGTCCTGATGTGGGTAGAGGCCTTGGGTTATATTCCTTTTTTTTTTTTTTTAATTTTTTAAACTTTTTAAAATGTTTATCTTTGGGGACGGGAGGGACAGAGAGAGAGGGAGATAGAATCTGAATCAGCTGAATCAGGCTCCAGGCTCTGAGCTGTCAGCACAGAGCCGGACGTGGGGCTCAAACTCACGAACCGCGAGATCATGGCCTGAGCTAAAGTCAGATGCTTCACCGACTGAGCCACCCAGGTGCCCCAAATCCGTGTGTTTATAAAGTGAAGTCGGCCACTAGAATAACACAGAGAGCTTCTAAGTCCATGGTGGGGGCAAGGAAAACGCTGATCAGTCCCATAGGAGTCAGGAAAGGCGATAAAAGGCAAAGATGAAGTATGGTAAAGAGAAAAAAATAAATTGAGGGAAAGCTCAAACACAATCATAATCACAATAAAGTTCAACGGATTTAAACTAGCCAGTTTTTGAAAAATCACTTATCAAATTGGGTGAAGAAAACAAAATGTAACTGTGCCCTAATTTGAAGGGCAGAGGTAAAGCCACAGGCAGGCGACGGCCCTGACAGCTGTTCACCAAAAGAGAACCGTTCCACATTCACTGGTGCAGGTGCAACACGCTCGAAGACAGACAGCACCGTCAGGAGCCGAGTGTGTGCCGCCGAACGGCGACGCGATTTGCTGGGGACAGCGGATGACTCTGAACTTGCACGCACCAAGCACACGGCTTGAGAGCGGGTGACGCGGACCCTGGCAGGGACCCAGCACGAACGACCCGCTGTACAGTCGGCAGGAACGGCGGTGCACGCCTCTGAGGACAGAGGCGGCCTGGAATTCATCCGCTTTCAGGACTCAGAGAGCACAGTCAGGAGCAAGGTGCAGCGCACACGTAAAACCCAAGTCACAGAATTCCTCGTCTTCGAGCACACGTGGAATGTTCACCAGCAAGGGACCCACCGCGGGGCCACAAAGCCAAATCTCAACAAGATACCGGGGCATCTGTGTGACGTCGGCCGCGACCTCCGCCCGGCCGCGCTGACCACGGTACAGAGAGCCGCTCACCACACGCTTGGAAATGCAGAGCCGTAAGAGGTGGCTGATGGCTCAAGGGGGGAATCAGCACGGGGCCTTAAGACAGGTAGAACCCCACAACAAAGGGACGGGGTGCAAACGCTTCCAGGCTACAGCTCCCCTCGGCCTCAGGAGGGAGTTCCTTCCCTGAAAGCGCACACACGAGAAAGGAAAGGCGGACAAGCAGCCATCTCACCGGAGACCCAAGGGACACGGTGAGGAATAAAGCCGTGGCCTGTGGGACAGGAGGCGGGGGAAGAGTCCCTGCTGGCTGCGTGGGAAGGTTATACGGAATGACTGTGCACACAGCTGTGTGGACGACTGTGAGGAACTGTGCGGACGGCTGTGCGGACGACTGTGTGGGTCAGCTGTGCGGGACGGCTGTGCGGAGGGCCGTGCGGGACGGCTGTGCGGAGGGCTGTACAGAATGGCTGTGCGGACGGCTGTCATGAACCGTACAGATGTCTGTGTGGGTCAGCTGTGTGGATGAATGTGCAAGTCGGCTGTGCGGGACGACTGTGCAGAGGGCTGTGCGGGTCAGCTGTGTAGGACGGCTGTGCAGACGACTATGGGGACGGCTGTGCAGAGGGCTGTGCGGGACGGCTGTGCGGGTCGGCTGTGCGGACGACTGTGCGGGTCAGCTGTGCAGGACGGCTGTGCGGAGGGCTGTGCGGGTCGGCTGTGCGGGTTGGCTGTGCGGACGGCTGTGCGGACGACTGTGCGGGTCAGCTGTGCGGGACGGCTGTGCGGAGGGCCGTGCGGACGGCTGTGCGGAGGGCCGTGCGGGACGGCTGTGCGGAGGGCTGTACAGAATGGCTGTGCGGACGGCTGTCATGAACCGTA